GGGAGACAAGGCCAACCCCTCTCCTATCCTCCCTTTGCCCCCTAACCAGCCAGCAATCGCCATTTCTGTTGACGTTGCCAGGAGCGTGGAGAGGACAAGAAACGAGCCAAATTTTCGAGAGCCCATTTGCCGTTCAAAGTGCCGGAAAGTATAGAGCAGGAATACGCCCAGCACCGTTTGAGGGTGTTCTTGAAAGGCGATTTGACTGGTGAAAAGACGCCAGAGCTCTCCTTTGCGGAGAATGCGGGTCGTGTCCAATCTTAAAGTGTGACTAGAATGGGTGTAGGACGAGAGGAGGGAGGCTCCTACCACCAGAAGGCAGTAACCTTTCGTGACGGGAGCATTCACAAAGCCCGCAAGCGCACCCATAGCTAGACGCGAGCGAGTAAATGGATGCTAATTAAAAAGGCGTGGATCGATGGAAGGATTTGCGAATGCTACTGGGATGTACTGCTGTCACGGTTGCCTATCTACGAGCGAAGGGCAGGGCCTGGCGGCCGCACGGCATAGAGCCCCCGTTTGACAAAGAAAGACAAAAACCTGTTGCATGAGATAGGCAATTTTATACATGGACGTGAGCCGAATGTGACGAGAAAATCGAAGGCTTCGTGACATGATAACCTACGCACGATTACATACAAACGACTTCGCTGTCATGCGTCCTTGATATACGACCGCCCGCTGTGGCTTTCACAAACTCTAATTTGGAATCCATCCAAGCTGACAATGACATGTCCCCTCGACAATTCCAAACGTGACATCCTTACGATTTTCCAGTATCCTAAGCGAAGGAATAGTGTGTCGATGGCCATGGCGGCGCTCGCTCGAGTCTCCGCGACTGCGTGTGAGCGACAGGAACCTAGACCTCCTAAAGAATGGACTGCTGTAAGAGTATGACAACCAGAAGAAGCCAATCACACCACGAGCTCATGCACGACTGCTTACAGGCGTATCAGAATGATCATTCTGCCAGGATACATGCACCCGAAAATTTAAAGTTGATTCTGTCCATTTTTCTTCTACCCTCCCTCCATTGCTCTTTTCGGTCACGCAAAAATACAGAAAAGCATATGCCATTGGCAACAATAATGTTGCCCGCAGGCCTTGCATCCCTGCTCCTCATGTCAATGGTCTGCCTGTGTCGCCTTCCTTATTCATTCGCGGTGGAACCTTATTCTGAAGACCTGGCTCGCCAAGCTGCTGTTTTCTCTTCCATCGCCTATGGAGATCCGTTTCTTGTCAGCCAAAACAAATTTTACAACAGCTCCTGCCAGCTTCCTGGCTTCACCGTTCTACATACATATCAATCCCAGCCGTTGGATCATGATGCCTTTGGTTACATCGGTGTGGACAAAGAGGAGAAGCTGGTGGTAGTCGCTTTCAAGGGGAGCAATGACACGGAGGACTATATCACGGATCTAATCGGATCGCTGCACTATCACTTCTCATGCGTTATCGAAGGCGTAGATTTAGGACACACGCACCACGGATTTTGTGCGTTTTATACTTCATTGGTGACGTTGGGGTTGGCGGAGGAGGTCGCCGCCTTGGCGGCGCGAATGGGAGAGGAGTACACTGTGCTCGTGACTGGCCACTCTTTGGGTAAGAAAGAGTAGTAGGGAACGGATGAGGACAATAGAGAGACAAATAAAACGAAGGACAACAGCGAGATGTGCGTGGGGACGAGAGAGATGCCAAATCAAGCCGTCCTACGGCCTCCCTGCCCCCTCATGCCCATCGCTTCCCCCCCGTCTCCCTCGGCCGCGTGCTCCCTTATATCCCTTTTCAGGTGGCGGGGTGGCATCCCTCTGCGCCGTGGACCTGGGCAAGCGCCTGAACGTATCCTCCCTGCTTTATACCTTCGGGGAACCCCGTGCCGGGGACGTTGGGTTCGCAACGGCTGTCGCGGAATATACCCGGGGTAGCTACCGCCTGGTCCACGCCTCGGACTGCGTCCCACATTTGCCGCCTTGTTGTGGTGGAGTGGATGGGGGTAATCATGCGGGGGAGGGAGGAATGGAAAGAAAATGAGGGAGGAAGGGAGGAGGGAGGAAGGGAGGGCGGGCCCGGGATGCCCAATTTTCCGTTCGAAGGAGTAGAGGCCGTGGGGGAGACTGACAAGGCGTCCCCTTGTTCGCTTTCCTCACACGGATGACACAGGGCATTGCGCGGAGGTGGCGGACTGCCCTTTCCACCATGGGCAAGAAATTTGGTACGACGACGACATGAGCGTGGGGGCACAATACGTGGCATGTCCCGGGGATGAGGTAGGAGAGCGGGGCAAGGGGAAAGGGGGGGCGAGCATCCATGGAATTGGCAAGGTCTTGTTGCTGTTGCTGATCGAACAGATCGTTATTTGGAAAGGGGGATGGCAAAACGGTGGTTTCTTCGCTGATTGTCTCCTATTTTTTTTCAGGATGAGGATGTGTGTAGCAACGGCTCGATAAGCAGCGTGGAGGACCACCATTACTACTTCGGGGAGAGGCTCGGAACCTGGTGCTGCTTTCCACCGCCTCCGTCCGAGAGGTCTTCTGAGATGGAGAGAAAGCATACAATGATTGAGCAGAGAATCAAGACCTTGGAGAGTCATGGTCGAATGTCGAGGAGCGAGGCGGAGAGAACGGGAGTTACAGCTGTGGTATGATAAATCATATGGTTAAGATGTGTACGAAGGAACTGTGGAAAGAAGAGGGAGCTCATCGTTTTCTAAAGGAAAAAGAAAAGCCAAGCCGTGTTCGCTACTCTTCTCAGAATCTTGCGACACTTGTTTTGATACTCGTCCTCCCAGAGATTCGTCTACGTGTACAGTTATTTGATTCCTTACGGACAAAATGGTATGAAAAATCGCCTCTTACTTACGTTGGGCGCTCATGATAATTGCACAGGCAACGATGCTTTAATCATATCATGATAATAAAATCTGTCCCACACGGTCCGAGCGAGGACAAGCAACGGTACTTTCTTTGGCATAAATTTAGAACGTGGTGCCGCTTAAGAGCTAAAAGTTTTCAAACCGGGCTAGACTGCCCCGACTCTGTGGAAAGATCCTGGAAAGCGGCACCACACATTCGACGGAATACGATGATAATAACCGCGTTCAAGGATTTGTTACCAGCCCCATCGATTGTCACAAATTTTTTGTAGACGGGAAATCAGCATAACGTACCAGTGTTCTATAAATTTGATGGGTAGTTCGGAGTAGTTTGTGGAATATTTTGACGTTTTACGTAGTTTTAAGAGCCTTGCAAGGCGCCTACCTACGAGAGGAGAAGGCAGATTCCTACGCGCGAGAAAGCCACGAGAAAGAGGGGATGTTTAGTCACGTGTTATGTTTTCATGTGATATTCGAGGCCTTGTGAGTTTTGTCAGATTAAAAGATCGGATGGACACGGGTAAGACGATTCAGGTAATCTTCAATCCGTCAACAATTTTGTCTGTGATTAAAATACACGCATACTTCTTTATTTGGTCAGACTGTGAACGAAAAAGATGACCCGACAAAATTGGTCCTCGACGATCGGCTCATCATCAGAATACCGTTTTCAAGTTTGTAGACACATATGCAATGATGTTAGCGACCTAAATCCAACCTCTCGGCCCATCATACTCTGAGGGAGCCGTGCGGAACGCTGCGCTGACTCCGATATAACTTTTAGGTAAGAGCCTTGTGCTGTGATTACCTTTTTATTAGAAAAAATGTAATCCGGCGCTTGCCATTTCCGTGGTGATGCTAATATAGAAACCAAACAATAAAGTGGTGAGGGGTGAGCGAAGGGTCAAATGGAGGTCGGGTTCGGAAAATTCAAATCAAATTTAAAATTTGAAAAAGATAGGACATGTGGTTCGGGTCTATGTCGACAAAGTCCATCTCATCCGTCTTTTAGCCTGCTTTCTTCTTCTCGATGGTCGATTTTCCGTTCTTTGCACAGATTCTTATTTGGTCAATTTTTCATCACTCATGGCATCACTCTTCTGTGACACGCGTGAGCCAGCTTTCGTTCGGATAAATCATTTGTACTCTCCCGCGAAATACGGACCTGAAGGCGTCCAAAGAAGGCTGACGTACGAGCAACCGTCAACAAACACCGTGTCAATCGTAATAAGAATCCCATTAGCACACTATCCATCTTTTATTATAAAATACACCGGTGACACGTCAATTTTCGTTCTTTCCTGCATGTGCCTACAGCGGGAACTTTCATAAATAGAGCTTTTAGAGACGACAGGAATTCACAGCAGAGGAGGCTGAGAGCACAGAATGCTGACACAGCTATTCTTTGGAAAAACTCCACATCGACTTTTGGATGGAATTCAGGCACAAGACGATTATGGCAGTGGCAGGGCCAACATTCAATCAAAAACGGCAGGAGACCTGGAGGGTGGGAAGGAGACAAAACGTTCAATCGAGCCCAAAGGCCATACAGAGGTGTTGGCGGAGTACAAGCCCCAGATGGAACAAATGAATGAAGGTAGCGTAGACGAGAGGAATCCACGCATGACCCCGTTGCCCATATCCGAGGGCACTGCGGACGAAGACAACCGCGAACCCCAGGGTCCAACGGACTTGACCGGCGGGACCTTTTCAGGGCCTAATTACCGTGATAGGATGGATCATTTTTACCCACGGCCCCTGCCGGATTCTGGGAAGGCCGATTATGTGGAGAAGCAAGCCCACGAACACCATCTACATCCTCCGCCTTGCCCGACTTGGTGGTCATCGACGCCTGGACTTTCAAAGCCTGAGATGAGTGATCAAGAAAGAGTACAGCAGCTTCGCACCCCACCTTGGGAAGAGAAATGTGACGGAGAATGGGGTTATGAGGGTTTTGCACAAAAGGCAGGGCGACCATCCGGTCCCGGGCAGGGACAAGAGGGGTCGCATCAAGACAGAGGGGAGGACGATTTCTTGAAAAGATGTCACGCCTTCAGCGAGTCCGTCGCCTACGTCCATGCTTTCGGGAATACACATCCCACTGCAGCCTTTACATTAGGAGTGAACAATATGAGCGACTGGACCTCTGAGGAACGGCGGTATTTGGGGGGCTCCCGGGCCGTGCCTGTGGACACGGAAAAGATGTTGGACTTGGACAATATAACACTAGTCGAGGCTTTGGTATCAGGGACCATCAGCTATGATGATGCCTTCAATGTTTCTGCCTTATCCGAAATTTCTACAGACGATGTAGAACGCAAGCATCGACGTGTAGTGCACCACCGGCGGCTTCCCTTCTCCTCCTTTGCTTCTAACCTGTCCGACGTGGCCCTTCCTGCTTCTTTGGACTACCGCTATAGCGACGCGAATCCCTACGGCGTGGTGGCAGTCACATCGGTCAAATATCAGGGCACCTGCGGGAGGTACGTAGACATAAAGGTTAATTCTCCCTCTCCCGTCTCACAATATCCTCCTTTTCAACCTTGTCTTCTCCCTCAGACCTCTCTCTGCTCCAACATGCACCCACGCAGTCGCCTTCCCCGCGTTCATTTCCCCACAGTTGTTGGGCATATGCCACCAGTGCCCTTGTCGAGGGTCAAATTGCTCTGCAGCATGCCGAAGATTTCGGGGACGGTAATCATGATTTCACCACCACGGACGGCAGCACTCGCCACGGCCCCGGCGCTTTGTTCACAAAAAGTCTCTCTTCCCAGCAACTCGTTGACTGCGCCGACCAGAACACGGGGTGTGAAGGCGGGACCGTAAGCGACGCCTTCTCGTACATACATGACCATGGCCTCCGAACCTTCTCCTCCTATCCGTCCACCCAAATGCAAGGTGTGTTGGGTAGGGAGGCGAGGTGTCTGCTGCATACTTTCTCAAAAGTCAGCTTCCTTCACCCCCTTCGACCCTTCCTATCTTTGGCACAGGCGCATGTTTGGGTGATACACCTGCCTTTGCATTTGCCTATGGCCCTACATTCATCCCTCCCTGTGCTTCTGACAAGCTTCTTCAAAAGGCACTCTATTTCTTCGGACCCCTGGCCGTCCATGTCAAATCCAACTGTCCCGCCTTCCTCGCCTACGCCTCGGGGATCTTCACCCCTGACCAAGACTGTCTGTTTCCAGGCTCAGGAGGAGGAGGGGAGGAGAGGGGAGCAGGTGTGACGGACTGGGGAGGCCAGGGGCCCGACTTGGACACATGCACGCGGGAGGTGGACCATGCCATGCTCTTGGTGGGCTACGGAGAAGAGGAGCCGGAGGAAGGTGGGCGGGAGTTTTGGGTGTTAAAAAACACGTGGGGTACCACGTGGGGCGAAGCAGGATACATGAGGATGTTGAGACGAGGGGGGGGGGAAGGCCAGGG